GGCTGAAACGAAACAACTGCCGCCGATCAACGGCAGCTGTTGTCGGGCCCGGCCTCCTAAAAGTTCGGGACTGGGCTAAAACTTGTCGAAACTGGACGGCAAAGGTACTAGTGGTTTAAACCACCAGTACACACAAGGATAAGTCGATGAATGTAACTTCCAACGCTCGTGAGCCTGCAACTGCGGATTTTCGAAGTAGCCTGCCCTGAGGATTTTCGAAGTAGCCTGCCGAGTTGACTACCGGCCCAGGCCCGAATCGAAAAGCTCTTACGTTGTAGACCAGTAAGATCCCTATTCTGCGATGAATGTAACTTCCAACGCTCGTGAGCCTGCAACTGCGGATTTTCAAAGTAGCCTGCCCTGCGGATTTTCGAAGTAGCCTGCCGAGTTGACTACCGGCCCAGGCCCGAATCGAAAAGCTCTTACGTTGTAGACCAGTAAGATCCCTACTCTGCTTTGGGTGAACTGGTGGCGTAAAGGATTGTTTGTTTATGTCAGGGGATGGTAGTCCCGATTTCCAGCAGGTGCAGCTCCCCCCGTCAATAGATGGAGCCTTAGCACAGTAGAGAGTCGACGTGAAACCCGCGGGTCATTCTCCAGTGATATGCAGGCTGCCGACGGCTGCATGTGTCTTCATGCATGCACAAAAAAAAACAGGAATAGGAATGCAGTCCCAGCCTCCATTTTAGAACTGTCTGCTACGTAGAGCTGCGATGCTAAGTAGAACCGGCTGCTATGTAAAGGTATGCTGCTATGCTCCCCCGGCTGGTACTATGTGCATTGTCTGTGTTATGTGTGGTGGTGGGTGGTACTAGGTGGGCTGGGTGATATCTGCAGTCTGCAGTACTATGTGCAGTAGATGCCTTGTGCAGCAGGTGCTATTTGCAGTGGGTGGTACCATGTGGGCTGGGTGCAGTGAGTGATGCTATGTACAGTGGTGATTCTATGTGAGCTTGGTGCTATCTGTCATGCACAGCACTACATGGGCGGGGTGCTATGTGCAGTGGGCAGCACTACCCTGGCTGGGTGCTATGTGCATAGGCGGTGCTATGCAGGCTGGTGCCTTGTACAGCACATAGTACTTGGTGGGTGCATGCTATGTGCAAAGGGTAGCACTATGCCGGAGATGTGCTATGTGCAGGTGGTAATAGTTTGCACAATGAAGACAGCTACATGCGGGGTGGTTTGGGTGCTGCACACAGCAGGTAGCAATGTCCGGACTGCATGGGTGTGCGCTATGTGCAGAGGTTATTACTATGCGGGGTGGTCCAGGTGCTTTGTGCAGCTGGTAGTACTATGCGGGGTGCATGCTATGTGAAGCAGGCAGTACTATGCGGGGTGTGTTATATGTGCAGAGGGTATTGCTATGCAGAGGACGTGCTATGTGCAGCATTCGGTACTATGCGGGGTGTATGCTATGTGCAGGGGGTAGTGCTATGCGGGGTGTGTACTAGGTGCAAGGGGTAGTACTATGCAGGGTGTGTGCTATGTGCAGAGGGTAGTACTGTGCTAGGTGCATGCTATGTGCAGGGGGTACTACCGTGCAGGTTGCATGCTTCATGGGGGGGGATGAAATATGTGAAGTGTGTGATTTGTGCAGGGGTAGTACTACGTTCGCACAGTGGACACAGCTGACTCAAGTGCTATCTGTTGGATGGCTTTGTAAAAATTACCTGCCAAACACGGACTGAGACACACAGCTGATTTCTGAGTTTTCGTCATGGAATGTATGCCTTGCGGAGCTCCCAGCTTGTTGCTGAGTTTTCTAAGTCTGTGTGTGTGCGTGCTTGCTGGTCTGCATGCCTGTCTGAGTGCTTGTCGGTTTGAGGTGTGTGCGACCCACAAGGGCACTTGTTCGCTCAGAAGGCCCAAAGGGCCGGTACTTACCTGTGGCCATGACATTGAGGTTTGCAGCGGGGAAAAACTCAAATGGCGGGGAAAGAGGCCCGCGACACTTAGAGCAGTGGAAAACACTCAACTAGCAGGTAGGCCGATGCCACACCAAGTAGAGGTAGATGTGCCGGGTGCTCGAGGCCGAGCAGAAGAAGGCAAAAGTTGGCATTTTTACAGGCCCAGTAGTTGTAGGCTAGGTCTAGGCGGGTACCAGTCCAACCAGTCTGAGTCTAGGGCCTGTATGGGCAATATCAAAGTCTGCAATTATGTTTCCCTCCGAAAGGGAGGAGGTACCGGTTGCTTGGAGGCCGCAAGGCCTAGGAAGTCACTCGCCAAGAGGCAAGCAGGCCGCTATATCTGCAGCAGGAGCAAGGTGCTGCTCCTCATTGTCGGTGTGCAAGTTTGGCGACACACTGGTTGGAGCGCTGGCTGGAGCAGCGCTGCTGGGGAGGAGCAAAGTCAACAGCAGGCAGAAGACGAGGACTAGGAGGGAGGAGCACCAGAGGTACTTACCTGGCTATGGTGGATACCATCTTCATCACCTAGGTGGGCGCTGCATCTGGAAGGCCCCCGTTGGGGTAGAGCTGCACCAAGAAGCTTCGAGGCAGAGTCAGGCATGGCGGCCTGAGCTAGAGCAGCCATAGCTGCTTTGTGTTGTCCCATTCCATATTCATAGAGTTACATTCTCATCTTGTTGTTGTTGTTGTTGTTGTTGTTCTTCTTCTTCTTCTTCTTCTTCTTGACTCGATTCCATCTGGGGAACATCAATCCGTTTTATAATGTTACTGTCCATTGATTTTTGACGAGTCATGGTGAATCTAATTGTTGGTTCGGCGAGGAGACTAGTCGCTGGCAGAGTTGTGTCCCTTCGTGCTCTGTCCTTTATGTTCACAGAAAGTGGATGACACAAACATTGTTGCCATTTTTTTTTTTTTTTTTGGAAGGGGCTAGCCCCTAAGGTTACACTATCCATAGGCTTTGAACTCCTGACCTGTTTGTCACCAGTTACATGTGTATACCATTCAGCCACATGGGTTACGCACTGGCCTTCTTTCCAATTCCAAGAAAGTCTGGAAAATAGCTGATGGCTCTCAAGTTGCTGAACCTCAGAAACATCTGAGAGGTCTGGGGATCATTCAAGGCCTGCCAATTAACAGCTGCTGATTCAAATCGTCACCAGTTTGTGCTGCTGTTGAGTCGTATAAGACATGGCAGTTCTTTTTCCTTTTTCTTTTCTTTCTTTCTTTCTTTCTTTCTTTTCTTTTTCTTTTTTTTTTTCTTTTTTTTTTTTTTTCTTTTTTTTTTGCGGGCCACTCCATCTATTTGTGGGGAGCATCACCTGCTGGAAACCGGGTCCAGCGTCCCTTGAATACATCTTTACAAAATTTTACATCATTGAACATGATGCGAGGATCAGTGTCCTCGGTAGGCCTACGGGGCCCTGTCTGCAGCCTTACCCGCCCTAAGTGAAGGCGGGCCTGGCTTTTTGCAAGAGGCCCTCGACTGTCAATTTCATATTTGGGGTCCAGGCAGTTGCGACGTGCCAGTTGGTTGAAAGAAACACAGGCTGAGTACCGAAGACATTTCCACGGCCTACCGGGCCTTTCCAAAGAATGCAGGCCCTGGGCGTGATTCACAGCCTCATACAGAGACAGTTGGGCGCCCAACCGAACGAGGCCCAGCAGCCCAGTAGCTGCTGCATCCAGACAGCATCCTGGGGCCTTCCGGAAGCTGCTGGGCCCAGGCCAGCCCAGCCAGGCTGTGAGAGCTGGCCAGCTCTTTTCCATAAAGGAAAGAGCTCTGGCCAGGCAGCCCATTCGGTCACTTGCTGGCTGGGCGGCAGCGCTGCTGGAGCAAAAGCTCGCAGGCTGACTGCCGGCAGAGGAGCAAGGGGCAACACACGTGCGGTCATGTAGGGGAACAGGGCGCTGCTGAGGGCAGCGCCATAGCCAGCCTCCATAGCGGGCTTGGCTTGGACAGAGTGAGGCGCAGGGGTGGTTCTTCGGGTGTCAGAGAGGACAGGTGTGGGTGAAGTCAGGGGATAGGTGAAGGATGATGATGATGATGATGATGTGAGGGCACGTACCTTGTATTGGCGATGGTCTGCATGGGCGGCACCTTCAAGTACTTTGGGCTGCTGCTGATGTCAACAGTTGCATTGTCTTTTTGTAGTCTGTAGTAGCTGTGTAGTAGGCTGGGCGCTGAGCCCCAAGTGTGAGTGTAAGGGAACTGGATACTTGTGTTGAAGAGGAGAGAGTGTGCTCTCCATAAACATTGGTTTTCAGTGCTACGAAACTCCATTGGTGTATTATTGGTGCAATGCTGCTATCTGGACACGGTGTGACTATTTGACTTGCAATGTGATGGTGTGATCTGGGATTGTCATCTCGCTGTTGCTTATTTTCCTTGCAATGACACCACTGTGCTGGAAACAGGGTCCAGCGTCCCATATCCAAACTTAACCTCCCTTCCTATCCCGTGGCACGGTCGGGTATTGGGGGGAGGGCCACCGGGGGCACCAGTGGAGTCTCCCTCCTTCACCCAGGCCCTGCCCACCATCTACTCTCCTCGTGGCGTCCATTGGGATAAACTGACATGAAATAAACTGAAATGAACTGAGAAAACACAGGGGACCCCTTTTTCTTTTTTTTGATTTGGACCATTTCTTGATTTTGCGTGTCATCGTTTTTTTTTTTTTTTTTTTTTTTTTTTAAAGGCTCCATCTTTTGGTGGGAAGCTTCACCTGCTGGAAAGCGGAGGGGCCATGCTAATCTTCTCTGTGTTGTTCCAATTTGAATGGATGTCCTGAAGAAATGGCGCATTTGCAGCTGCGGAACCAAGCTTTAATGGCAGAATGTTCCACATGTACTTTATGATTTGATCTGATTGCCTCTGTCTGATTGAATTAGCTGTTTTGAGTTCTGTTTTTTTTTTTCCCTTTTTTTTGCCCTCTCTCTCTCTCTCTCTCTCTCTCTCTCTCTCTCTCTCTCTCTCTCTCTCTCTCTCTCTCTCTCTCTCTCTCTCTCCCCCCCCTTCTTTCTTTTTTCAAAAAGGGCAGCGTCTTTAGATATCATCGTGGAACTGGGGTCCCCAAGAATTTCAATCTTTAGTTCCCCTAACTGAGCTAGGCGGCAGGCAGCCTAGGCGCGGTGGTGCTGTGGAGTCCTTGCTTTGCGACTGCTGTTGTCTAATTCTGTCAGATTTAATCAAGTTCCAGGAGGCTTCTGGACTGGAAATTCAAGGCGCCAAGCACATGAGGCGATCTCTTCTTCAGCTCTGTGAGCACCTGCCTGTAGGGCTGATGAGTCAATCGGATGATGAGCTGGCGATCAGAGTCTCGGTAGGAGGCGTGCGCCGTTGAGTGGACAACATGGAAAGGCAGGCTGAGACGTAGGGGTGGGTTTTCTCCAGCCATTTCAATCTCTACTCCAGGACCAGGATTATGGTCTGTTAGGAAGACCTTCGTATGCTCATCTAGCTTGGGCAAGAATACCTGGATCTCAATGGTATGAATGGGTTTCCCTTCATAAGTGATTGTATACTTAGGTAGCAGTGGGAGTGGCATGGGGTTCTTTGGCTCAACTGGTTCTTTGATTACCGTGTCCTTTCTTTCACCGTCTTCGCGATTTGCAGCAGCTGATTGGGGACCACTTGAGTGATTTGCCGCAAGTGGACTGCTTAAAGATCCCACATTATGTTCTTGTGATGAATCAGCATCTAGCAACATGGTGGCTGGCACGGGCGTCACAGTCGTACAACTGGTGAAGGATGGAGGGGCCAGTTCTGTGCCAGCGTTCCGATGTGAACCGAGGACGTGCTCGTTAGAGGCCATGTCTTCGGAAGTAGTGGTCTGCAGAGAATGGGCAGTGGCCGTCCCCTCCCCCGAGAACGAACAAGTAGTGTCTTCTGGAAGTGGAGGCTTTGCCATGCCTTTGTATGATTGACTATTAGTACCCTGATAACTTGCTAAATTGCCTGAAGAATCTAGAGTTGACGGCAAAGAGGAACATCTCCGAGGTGGTTGCTGAGGGTCACGAGCTTCTGCTTTGACTCCTTTTGCAGCAGAGCCTTCCCGTTGATCCTTTTTGTTTGGAGGTCTGAGGAAGAGCGGAAACGCTGGCTGCTGATCACTACTGTCTTGCAGGTCGGGAAGCTCGCTGATAAGCTTCTTGGGGGCCACCCTAATGCGATGATGCCGGATGACACCCCCCTTATAAGTGGCCTTGATGACCTTGAAGTTCTCATCAAGCTCTGTCTTGTATTTCTGCTTGATCCATTCCAAGCATATGTTGGCAAGAAAATTCCTAAGCCGAGAAAAAGCCTTGGCCTGCTTTACTACGCTGTCATTTAGCAGGACATCATAGACCAGACATGGAGTCCCGTCCTTGCTAGTGCTCAGAATGGGCTCCGAGGCACTCAGCGGAAAACGCACATTCTCTGTCAAGTTGGGCTCATTGCCTGCCTCCATCTTCTCTAGTGCCTCGTCAACCTCCGGGGGAATCCCTTTCTCCCAGTTCCCTGGGGCATCCAGCTTCAGAGACATGCATACATTCACAAACACCTTGATGCTGTGCTCATTCTTTGTCTTTATGACAAAACCAGGCTGTGGAACAACTTCCTCAGAATTCCCATGCAAGGGGTCAGCTCCACTTGGCAATGACGCTGAGCTTGGTATTATCATGTCCATCTCACTTCCATGGTCACCTTCTTGATGCAGCGCAGGGGTTGGGATCACAACACCATCTCCTGCTCCCAAAGCAGGAGTGCAGGGCTCTGCATGGCTGTGCATGTTGCTGTCCCAATTTCTCTCTTGGCGGATTAATAAACAAACAAGTTAATCGCCCGACCTACCCAATAAGCAAGGGAGCAACCCATGAGTCAATTTGCTGAATTTTGCAGCAATTTTTGCTAATATTTTAGAGAATCCAATAGCCAACTATTATGATACAAGCACTGGTGTAGGTAGCATGAAATGTTATGCAGTGTGGCAGTAAATCTCTATCAATACTTTGTGTTTCTGTTGCCAGGTTCTGAGCAAAGGGAGCAGGGTTCCGGTCACAGTATACAGTAGAAAAGGCTATGATGGGCAACCTCATGCCCAAAGCTGCTCTCCGATCGGTGTGGAGTGTAGGCCCGGGAAAGTGCTAAGAAGGGGGTGTTCCGAGAATTTTAGGAAAGATGGGGTTTGGAGTTCTCGGTTGGAACTGGAATACTCTGTGTATCGGCTTCGTACGAGTGTTGAGGGAATGGAGAGAAAGAAAGAGACGACAGAGATCAATAAATGGCAAGGTCATCAACCAAAAATCATTTTCGAAGCGAAAGGAAAATCATGTCACACCAGGGCTGTGCCGGCAACCGACCGACTGGGACGGTTAAACCCGCGGTGGTCCAACCGGAACTCCGGTTGGGCCCAAAAGTGGGTCAATTTTATTTTATTCTATTTTTTTGAAAACACGGTTGGACTACACTTGCCGAGATCTCCCCAAATCCACAAAGAAAACTTCGAACAGAGAAGTTTCGTTTGGGAGGTTGGGGGGGTTGGTTGCAGAGGGGGGGGGGGGGGAAGGGGTAGTATTTCAGGGCTTTGGGGTCGGGGGTTGGGGGGTTTATGGTGAGGGTGTTAGTGGTGGGATTTCAGCAAGCACGGGCTTCAGCAGACATTGACAACAACGTACCTGGCTTTCTCCAAACGTTAACCTCCGCCCAAAACTTTGAAAAGGAGGCTGGGGGTGTTAGTGGCAGGGTAGGGACGGTACTTCCCACCCAAAAATCTTGAAAAGGGGGGTAGGGGTGATAGTGTTAGGGGGTGCTTGTCACTGCTGTCTGGTCCAAGTTGCCTTCGATACTGGTAGGGTGATGGTCCTGAGTGCTGGTCACACTGAGGTAAGATAGCAGGGATAGGGGGTGTGCTGGGAGCATTAACGTGGGGAAGGGTAGGGAAGGTGGCCTATCTTGTCAGGACAACCACTGGCTGCCGCTCCCAGCGATCACCGTGGGTCTAGTCCTTGGCCTCTACAACACCCTGGGCTTACAAAAAACAATAAAAAATGATACGCTACGGCCAACGGGGGGGGAACTGGCCTGGTCGACCGGCCGGTAGGACCGGTCCGGTTCTGGTTGGGGGAGGGCCCCCTGGTCCTACTGGGCTTACAGCACTGTGTCACACCACATATCCCTATACTACTAAAGGAAAACGCGGTCCTCGCGTGGGGCCCAGCAGAAACCGGGTGCCCCCCCGCGGGACCAGTAACAGCCAGCGGGCAAGAGGGAACCGGTGGAGCCAACTACGGGACAGGCGCGGTGCAGGGGAAAAAAAGGGCAGGGCCGGTGACAGGCAGTGCCGAAGGGAAAACCGGTAGAAGAGGTGCCGACAGCCGGACCCCGCGCGGGACCAGTAACAGCCAGCGGCCAGTTAGTGCCGAAGGGAAAACCGGTAGAACAGGTGCCGACGGCCGGAGAAGAGCAAGGGGACGGGCCGATGAGGTCGCAGTCGTGGACGTGGAGCGTCGCGAGCACGCAGCAGAAACGACGGCACGACAACTCTCTCTCTCTCTCTCTCTCTCTCTCTCTCTCTCTCTCTCTCTCTCTCTCTCTCTCTCTCTC